TAAATGGGCCATTTTGACCCATTTTCTCGTCTATGTAGTGGCGCGTGTTGCTCAACTCCCTATTCAACCTGACCCGACCCTATTCTTTAAAGAGAAGTCATCTTCTCCATTTCTTTTCTTCTCTGTTTGGCTTGCACCTTCAAGAAATTTTTTCTTAATTTTTCTTCTTTCGGATTTTTTTTTATTCAGCTATGGAGTTAGGTGACAACAAAATTTTGAATGTGGGATTGCTATTAGTTGCAATCCTTTTGGTAGCAAAACTCAGACCTAAATAACTCACACATTTATGCTAAATCAGAACAAAACCCATGTGTAACACTTTCTTGCACATTGCAAGAAAAGTTAATGCAGATCCAATTGACAACAGTTCCTCCATTACCATTTTCTTGTTCATCATGTTCCATTGGCCAACTTGTGGCAGCCAATCTTTTTCCCAGCCATTATGGCCAGTTGTGATGCTTAGACAGGAGCATCCATAGCTTGGAAGTATTTACTTTGAAGTTATTGAACAAGAAAATCATATTCTTCATTGATCCAGAAGTTTCTCGTCAATAGTGATGTCTTATTTTATTAGAGAAGATGATGAAGTGGTCAAACAAAGAGTATCAACATTGATTTTGCTATTGAAAAAACTGTGAAATTGAAAAATTAGGGCTAACAATGATTATTTTGGATTTAAATTTGGGGAAGATGACAAAAATTGATAAAATAATTAATAATAAAGAAAAATAATGACACATGGCACCTTTAAACTGGTCCATGGCAGTAAAAATAATGCATGACGCGCCTCAAGTGCGTGGTAACAACTGAGACTAGGAAATGGGTCAAAATGATCCATTTACAAAGAAATTAAATAGTTTTGTGGGGTAATAGGACATTTTAAAAGTTAAGGTGTCTTTATGCAAATACGGGACAATTTTAATGGTGTCTTTATGTCTTTTCTCTTATTTATACTTACAATTTACCATCACACTTCCTTTCACAACTTAAGTACTATTTACCCACTCCACTACACATCATTAGCTAACTAGTTCTATACCCTTCTAAATATCATGGGATCTCCCAAAAATCATAAGTTTCGCTTAGATCTATCACCTCATGAATAATTTGTTCTTTTATTCAACACCTACACTTGATCGTCATTAATAGAATGACACATCATCTTAATATAAATTTCATTCTAGTTAAAATATACTCTTAACTCATCCTACCTAGTAACTCTTACATTACCTCATATCATGAAATCTTCACATACTCATCACTATAAGGAAAAACACCATCATACATACATAGTTTAATGAACTTTAAAGAAATTCGCCAAACAGTGCAACGATTCAACATAAAACAGAATAAAACGAATAAACAAGGTTCAACAAGCTTCAAAAGGTAAAATACATAGTCTTTTTAATTCTAAAAACATATAAAATAACCATCCACAAATGTCACCACCAGTGGCTAAGGTGAGCTCCAAACATGGCTCCAGATTGTTACGAGCCAGCTCATACAAACTAGATCTTTCATGTGACACTGGATTTGCACCATCAATTGGAAGAGGAGGGTCCCTATTTTCAATTGAAAAATACTCAAATTTTAACATATGAACAATGAAAAAAGATGAATATAATTCGAAAAAAAAATATAAATTAATTACCTCATATAGGTAGTTCTTCCAGTGTATGCTTCAACAGTAATTATATGAAAAAACCGCCTATTTTCATCTTCAGGCTAAAAATCAAATAGAAATTTATTTCTTTAGAATTAATAAATAATGAAAAAAAAATTTCATTTACAACAAAAATAGAAGATATCTCTTCTAATAAAAATTGAATGTAGATAATCAATATTCAGATTAAAGATTACGATAATAATTCAATTTCATCTAATTTTTATATTAAATTAATGTATTTTAACATGATTAAATAATAACTATAGTAAAAAAAATACTTGTTCTTCGTTATTTTCGTTCTCAATGTTGTTTTTTTCATCTTCAGAGTCAGAGTCAGAATCAGAGTCCAAATTAGCGTCAAACTCAGAGTCAGAATTTGTAAATCTAATCCAAATTCCATCTTCTTCGACAATTTGGCATCTAGGGCATATCATTTTTCCCCTTATATTGAACTCACTTCCAATACAATCTGCATAACAAGGGGAAAAAATTTTTTAATCAACTTATACCAAGGTTTTACGTCTAAAAGACAAGAAAATAAATTCAATTTATGATGCTACAAGTTTTCTATTTCACTTCCAACGAATTAAAAAAATTAAAAATTCCAACTTCATAAATTCAAATATCCAAATTAAAAAAAAAACATATGATAATAGATCTAATAAACAATTTCTTATGTTGAGTAAAGGAAAATCTAATACATACAAAAATAATTATAAATGAATAATTTATTTATTTTATAGATTTGTAAATTCTTTGTTATATAAACCTGAGTGGAAGAAATGTTGGCACTTAAGCTTAGTGATTGCCCTTGTAGAATCATCTACAACATTCTCAGAACAAATGGTACAAATTGGAGGGTTTTGTAACATGAATTAATTTGACTTTTGCCAATTTTGTAATTTTGTAATAGATTCTTTAATTATGAATCATGTATGTGTTCACATTGTATAGATGGAAAGTAACTGAAAATTTATGATTTTGTTTTTTTTTTTTCTAATGTGAAAAGATATAAGTATCCCTCGTATTTTTTGGAATTACAATCCGAATTAATTAGTTGTGATACACACATATATTATCAAGTGATGTTTTTTAATGGTCGAAATTGCCTCTGAAATATGAAATAAATTACCTACACCCTATGTTATATTTTAGGATAAAAAAAGTTATATTGTTTTTCCAAGATATCATAAATATCTTCAAGCGTTAACAACTCGAATTTTTAGTGATGTGGCATGCAATCCACGTGTAAAACTAATCTATTCACCTGAGCATTGCCAACTAGAATAATGTATGTGCGTAATATTTATGATTTTATTTTTTTTTCTAATGTGAAAAGGCATAAGTATTTCCCTATTTTTCTTTGAAATTACGATCCGAATTAATTAGTTGTGATGCGCACACACATTATCAAATGATGTGTTTTTAAAAGAAAAATGGTCGAAATTGTCCATGAAATATGAAATAAATCATTTACACCCTTTGTTATATTTTAGGATAAAAAAAGTCACAGTGTTTTCCCAAGAAATCATAAATATCTTCAAGCGTTAACAACTCGAATTTTTAGTGATGTAGCATGCAAGCCACGTGTGAAACTAATTTATTCACCTTAGCGTTGCCAACTAGAATAATTTGTGTGCGTAATATTTATAATTTTGTTTTTTTTTCTAATGTGAAAAGACATAAATATCTCCTATATTTCTTTGGAATTACAATCCGAATTAATTAGTTGTGATACACACACACATTATCAAGTGATTTTTTTTTATAAAAGAAATGATCAAAATTGCCCCTGAAATATGAAATAGATCATTTGCACCCTATGTTATATTTTAGAATAAAAAAAGTCATATTGTTTTCCCAAGAAATCATATATATCTTCAGGAGTTAACAACTCGAATTTTTAGTAATGTGGCGTGCAAGCCACGTGTGGAACTAGTTTATTCACCTAAGCATTGCCAACTAGAATAATGATTGAACGAAACTGAAACTTTATCTATAATACTTTTAATTAGTATTTTTTTCTAATGTCTAAGACATAAGTATCCCCTATATTTCTTTACACATTATGTGCTAACGTGAAGTTAGAATCTGACTTAATTAGTTTTGATAGCATACATACATTATCAAGTGGTGTTTTTTCAAAAGAAAAAATGGTCAAAATTGTTCCTGATATATGAAATAAGCCATTTATATCTTATATTGTATTTTAGAATTAATTCACTGTTTTCTCAAGAGACCATAAACATCCTCACTAGGTAACAATTCAGATTTATAGTGATGTCGCTTGTGGTCTAATCTCTTCACCTAAGCATTGCAAATTAGGATAAAGATATAGCGAGATCTACATGATCTACCATATGCTCTGTGGTGATCAACAAAATGAGTGAAGCAAGCTAGACTGAGATGATTTGGACATGTGAAGAGATGCGTAGATGCACTGTAAAGGTGTGAGAAGTTGGTTATTGATGGTTCGAGGAGAGCTAAGCCGAAGAAGTATTATAAAAAGCTGATAAGATACGATGTGATGCAACTTCATGTTATCGAGGATGTGACCTTAGATAAGAGCTACGATGTGGAGGATACGTATTAGGTTATAAAGTTAATTAGTAGGTAATGTATTGTTTTATTGGTAAGAGTGACTGATATATGTCATGGTACTAGTTGTATTATCATTGTAGTTCTTGTTTTTATTTTGCCATTATTTGTTATTATTTTCTATAATCTATTCTAGCTGGTATGCTCAGCTGCTTAATGTGTTTTGAATATCTCATTATACTATTATTATTATTTTTGACTTTTTTTATGGTACTTTGCAATTTTACCTTGTTATTTGTCATATACTTTTCTATATCTCCTTATTTGTGGCTGAATTTAATGCATAACAAAAGTCAAAGATCTTTAAAAAATAAATTTCTCTATTTCTACAAGAAAATATTAAGATTTGTGTATATCATATATTCCCCAAACCTCATTGATTTTTCTAATTTAGATAGATATAATATACTTATTAAATTTCTCATCATAGATTAATTAACATAAAAAGTAAATTAGTGAATGTCAGACTAGAATTTTTGAAAGTCAATAGTCCAATGAAAATATAAAAAGAATTGAAAAGGCTTGAAAGGATGACTTTTAAGGTCATGATTCGATCTTGTACGATTCAGACCAACTACGTATATTTAGAATTGTAGATTTATCCCGAAAAAATTATAAATAGCTCTCTATTAAAGGTAATTTTATATTCAGAATTTAAATTTAAAATTTTTAAGTAAAAATTTAAAAATACTTATCAATCTATTAATGCTGAAAACAACTTAATAAGAACATGCAAATCATATTAATTATAGGATTCTATTGTCATTTACTTTCATAGTACAAAGAATGCAAAATTTTGAATACACCATTTACTAAATATAAGAATGTCAACTAAAAAATATATATTCGAAAGTACTAAATTTAAATCTATATAAATCAAGAAAATTAACTCATGGGGGGGACAAAAAAAATTGTCTTAAACTTTTGGCTTTGGCTTCTTTACAATCATCACAGAGCAATGAGCATGGTGAGAGCAATAGTCACTTACACTACCCAAAACAGCCCTGTATATAGCATACAACAATGAAATTTAATCAATAATTTTCAGTAAAAAAATTATGAAAAATATTGAGAAAGAAAATTAAACTCTCTAAGTGATTATGGATTATTTTTTAAAAAATATAATTATTTGGTATTAGAAATTCATTAGGTCGACTATGTTTAAATTTGCACTTCATAAAGACCATTCAAGGACATCGGGTCCATTATTGAAATTCTAACTCGAAATCATTAATATTACACCCCTGGGTGGTATATATACTTTTTTTATTCAAATTTAATTGATACTTAGTCGATATGATTAACTTTCCATTATAATCAACTAGATTTAATAGTTCATTTAAAAATTGTGGTTGATCAATGTTTCAAAAGTGCTTTAGGAAAAAAAAAACCCTATTTTTTTCAATTTCTAAATACTACCTTCTACTATTGCTGCTACTACTACTTAAGTAACTTATTCTTAATTTCCTAAAGAATTTATCACTCTCTAAAAATAAATACTTTAAAAAAAATACTTTTAAACTTTTCAGAAACTTGGTCAAACGTGTTATCAATTTCGATTTTCGAGAGATAGAAGTATTTGTACCTTTTGAAAGCTCCATATCCATGACTTCCCATGGCCAAAATAGAGGCATGATATTTTTCAACAGCCTCACAAATAACATTCCTAGCATCACCTTCAATAATTTCACATGCTACATTTGACACCCCTTTAGTCTTGCATAATTCTTTAGATTTGTCAATAGTTTTTTGGGAAGCTCTTTTAATATCTGACTCTACCAATGTAAACATGTCACTTGTACCTATACAACATTAAAGAATTCGAGTTTAGTTAATGAGATGCCAAAAAAAGGAAAAGAAAACAAGTAGTTATAAAAAAACCGTCTTCCGTCGACAAGTAAAGTAAGCACTCTAATTTTGAGGATGTGTAACTTAATCTCAACTGGCAACTAAACATTTCAACTCTGCCCCATCGCATCATCTCATGACCACTTAACGCTGACATGTCACGTAAATTTCAAAGGTATTTAAATGATCGTTTTGTAAGTTGAGTGTTCAGGTGATATATCAGAGACGAGTTGATCGACATGTCTATATTGTTGGAAGAAAAAAAAAACATGTTTATATTATAGAAAGAAAAAAATCACATCTAAATTAATAATACCTGGTCCAGCAATTGCAACAACAGAAGTTGGAGTAGGTTTTGCATGAATAATCATAAGTTTAAAATTGGAAACTGATGGAGATGGAAAAAAATGATCAAGTATCCATTCAAGGGCATAATAACTATGATCACTATCATCTAAAGCAAATATCATCACTTGTTTTTCTCCCATTGTTACACAATTATTTATGCAAGATTAAAAATATTTTTTTTGTTTTTATAATAATTAGGAATATATAGTGATCAATATTGACGGTTTATATTGTAATTTAGTTTTTGAGAAAAAATAAATGTGATCCGTTAGAAATGGATCTAAAAATTTTTTATGGACATTAGTTGGTCAAGAAGGGAGAAAAGAGTACGTCCACCCACTTAAGAAAAATTTAATGTGGAATGCATCGTACACACTCGTATCAATATCATATCATATATGCAATATAATAACCATCCATGCTTACGTTATCTGGGGCTTGAATAAATTATTCGATAAATCACTTACAGTACATACAAATTAAAAGTCATGATAAATTCATATCCATCAAATTATAAGAAGAAAAAAATGATAATGAGTTGCATTATGTGGATTCAATACAATCACATCTACACTTATTCTTTGTTAGTGATTTGAATAAATTATTCAATAAATTACTTAAAATATACTTGAATTAAAAGAACGTGAACACATATTCATCAAATTAAGAACCAAATAAATGTTGTGTTGCATTATGTGCATATAATACATTAATCATGTACGCTTGTGTTGTTAGTGGCTTAAGTAAATTATTCGATAAATTACTTAAAGTACATCTAAACTAAAATAAATACGAGATATTTACCAAATTAACAAAAAGTAATAATGTGGGTGGAATCAAAATAGATAGAACATCAAATCTTTATTTTATTTTTCTTTATCTTTTTACTCTTAATTCCTTCTTTAAATTGAAATCAAAAGTAGATAGAGACAATTTGTTTCTTTTTTAATAGATCAAGTAATTAAGAAAATGACAGATATTACTTCATGCCAAGCACAACTCAATATAAAATAAAGAAAATCAAATTTAAAGAGAAAATAAAGGAAAAGAAAAGGCTCATTCACATTTTTTAATTAATTTATGTACTTTAATTAATCAATTCACTTTTTCAGCTACTGATTTAGCCATATATTACCCCCCAAAAAAATATATACTAGAAACTGACCAAAAATATCAGAAAATATATATATGCAGAAACTACATTTTTATATGTTGATTAATAATAAATCATACTTACTCTTGATAAATTTTAAAAACATAGATTATTCCAAATATATATATATATATATAAGAGACTATTTAGATCTAACCAAACATATTTTTTTTAGATTTTTAAAATTACTTTAATAAATTTAACATCATTATTTATGTCATCAAATAATTTTCTATCACGCACGTTGAGTAATCATTGTCATCGTGGCAAGATATATAAACTACTCAAATACTTTTAGAGATATTTATTGATTTTATATTTTGTTTACGCTTCTTATTCAAGAAGTAGTATAAACATATTATTTTCTTGTTTTCAATTTAATGAATTATTTAAAATCAAAATATTGTATCACTATACATGGGTTATAGTGATTTCGAAACTATTATTTTCAGTGACGAAGTTAAAATTTTCGCTAAAAATATTCGAAATATAAAAATAATGATTTACTTTTTCACCAAACAGGATTCAGATAATTACCTCAACCCTTACTAGGTCTCTGCCCCTAATTATATTACTGAAACAATTATACAAAGCAAATTTTGAAAACTTTTGTTATATTTGATGATTATCAAAACTCTCGCTATATTTGATAATTAGATCACATATTATCGAAACTATTCCTCTGAAATAATGCTTACTCAATTCTCTCTAAATAATTTTTTCTCTTTAGATCCATCAATTCTCTTTAATACCCAAAAATGGATTCTTTAGGTGGCCGATTGCCTGTTTGCTTCTATTGACTTACGTGGTGCAAATCTGTCAATGAAATAATAAAATGAACAGAGGAGCTGAACTTAATCACTTGTTGTCGTTACTCTTCAATTTTCTATTGAGATCTATCCTATAGAGATATTCAAATTGGATCAATTCTCTTTAACGTTAAATATAGACACATATCTTAGTTTATTTATTTAGTATTGGCTATTTAGATGCAATGATCACAATCAACCAAGACATGTGGTTCACCAATCTAAATAAGAATTTTGTTATTGTTTGTCCTTGCTTATTATTTACTATCCTTTTATAACAACCTTAGTTTTTCCTTTTTTTTTTGCATTGTAATTTCAATTTGATCGTATGAAATGTTGAACTTAAAATTTGTTCTATATAATATTATATTTTTACATTTGATCTTCAAGTAATTAAAATATTCATTTGTCTTTCATCAACTTGTGGTAATTCACTCATAAGAGTGACTAAATTGAGGAACATCTCATTCGATCGAGCTCATTGTATCAAATCTATCTAAAATAAATTTACATCTCATAACAGACCAAAATATTCTTTAAAAACTCACACAAAAATAAATACTCAACTAAATTGTTAACTACTCATATGTTATTAGTACGTAAAGAAACTTTAATTCGATCCCACATTAATCAACGTAAATGTATGTACTTCAGTTGGTGCCTATGAACTAATTATCCATGTTGTTATTTAGTTTTCATGTACCATAATTTAATACATTTAACAAAAAAAATTCAAAACAATTATAGAATTTTAAAAAGAGTGTACATATGTTTATATTTCTCCATTTCAAATTAATTGTCCATTTCAAATTAATTGAGTTGTTGAAGTGTTTCACATCCTTTAAGAAAAAAAAAATTAAGATATAAATTAAGCTTAACTTTTCACTTTTATTCTTATTAATTATAATTAAAATAACTCACCATTAATTAATAGCTAATAGATAAAATTAAAAAAAACATTCTAAAAATAATCTTAAAAATTAAACATTCATGAAAAATGAAAAAAGAAAAATGTCATGAAAAGTGAAATACTTCTTTATCAAATATTCTAATGACTAAAATAACAATATCACAATAATTAAAGGATTAAAAATGCAATTTATCTCAAAGAAAAAATGAACCATGTCAGCAAATTATTACTATAACAAAAGAAAAAGTACATTACAAGACACAAATATACAATAAATAAATAAATAAAATAATAATTATTTTTAAAAATAAAAAATATAAATATATATAATAATTTGTGAGTCATGAAAGTTAGAAATGAATTTTAGTTCATCATGATAAAAAGGATACTATTTTTTCTCTCTCCATTTTTATCATTTGCTTCCATGAATTCTCTACATTGAATTCAACCAAACAAAATTTTTAGGGCTTTTTGGTTTGCTCTATCGCTCTCAGATCTGTTTCTGCAAAATTCAATTCTGCAGATCGTGAATTTCAGTTTCTTCATCTCAATCAGGTACCGCAATTTTCATATTCATAATTATCTATAATGTATCTCTCTGTGTATGTGTATAATTCTGCAAGTTTTCGAGATTTTATGTGGTTGATTTTGTTTTTTGTTGATGGATTTATGAGATTTTTAACATGCATTGTGTGTCTAGGACGATTTGAATCCAGATAATTGCGTTTATCGATTTAAAAACGGAGTCGTTTTGTTCACGTTTAAGTACGTTAATGTGCTGGTTGCTGCTTTGATTTCGACTTTTCGCCTTCAGGTGAGTTTCGATATCATAGATTTGTTATTTGATTACGATCTACATTTTTTTTTTGTTGTTGTTGCTAAATTTTGATGATGTGATGTTTTTTGGTTAAATGTTGTTGTTGAAGTGTGTAATAACAGATCGTGAAATTGGCGCCGCAACGCAGATCCCAGCGCCACATGGGTGGCCAGATGCAGCAGAGCAACGGGGCGGCTACTGCTCTGTATGATCAGCAGGGCAATGCCAGCCCTGCTGGTGATGCCGGAGACGCTGTCATGGCGCGATGGCTTCAGTCAGCCGGCTTGCAGCATCTGGCCTCTCCAATGGCTTCTACTGGTGTGGATCACCGCCTCCTACTTATGCAGGTAATATTCCATTAATGGCCCTAGATAAATTTTTTAAATATTGGAATAAGATGGTCCTGAATAGCAGATAAGGTATATAAACGTTTCATATTGTTGATTGGAATTTGGAACTAGTTTGAGATTGAGATGTAGTTGATGTAATAAAAGATCCCAAGTGTAAAAATAAATATTGCTTACATTTTGTTCAAATGTAGACGTTATGGTTTGAGTACACGCAGTACGCAGATCAACACTGCTCAGCGTAACTGCTACATTAGCTTAAATTGAATTGTCTCAGCTTTTGCCCACTGTAGTGTCCAAAAGCTCTTCTCAATATTTGGTTTACACTATTTTGGAATTCACAAATAGATGTGACTTGCGTGTTGTTTAGGTGCTTAGTCTGAATGATACCATTCCTGTCATTGAAAAGTGATCTATGCGCAGCTCCACTGACCTTAGTCAGTCTGGTTGCATTTCTGGCTACAGTGAGTCAACATTGAGGTTTATTTAAGGATCAATACTGATCATTTTGTTTGCCTCACGCCTTCTTTCTTACGCTTCTGGGTCATGGAATGTTATTTTAGCATTACTGTTCTTGTTTGGATGTTGCCATATCGTGTTTGTTAATAATTGCGAAGCTTGGAATTTTATTTGAAGGGATATGGGGCTCAGTCTATGGAAGAGAAACAGAGGCTTTTCAAACTAATGAGAAACCTCAACTTTAATGGTGAATCTGCATCCGATCCATATACTCCTACTGCCGAAAGCTCCGGAGGTATTGGACCATCTGATGGCTTTTACTCTCCGGAATTCAGAGGAGACTTTGGTGCTGGACTTCTGGATCTGCATTCTATGGATGATACAGAGCTCTTATCTGAGGTATGGAAATACTAGTTGGATTCATATTGAGCATATTCATTGCTCCTGTTAGGATGTAGTTTTGCTGGGAACATAGGTTGGACTAGCAATCTTCTAGCTGGCCTAGGACTTGATAGCCTTTTCTGCCATCAATCACACTCCATCCCCATCCTTGAGGTAAAAGAGAAAAGTAGCAAGAAGACAGGAAAGTAGGTGTACCGAGTATGTTTTAATTTAAAGAATGTAGTTGTTCTCTATTTGGAGTCTCTTTGACCATTCTATGGGAAGCTATCTAATAGTAGCTGACCTATCTCGTATCCCTTCAATGTATAAGATTATCTGGATTACTATGGACTTGACACGAGAATCCTAATTATATTGGTTTTTCTTAACAGTAAACTGTTTAAAAATTAAAGATCCGGAGATAATTGTTCAAAGATACCATATTGAAGTTAGAGCTTTTCACATACTGGTTGAAGATCTATAATGTAGTTTTATTGGCATTGAATCTTATTTATGCAAAGAGTGAAGACCACAAGTGCTGCTTACTTGTTGTCTAGAGGCAATTGCTGTTCAATAATTGTTGCTTTATTTTCTGTATAGCATGTTATTTCAGA